CACGGAGCCGGCACCGTGCCCCCCTTCCCCTGCCCCACAGCCAGCCCCGCTCCTCCCCCCCGCCCCTTGCAGCAAGCCCATCTCCTCCTCGCCCACCATCCAACGCGTCCTTTTCGCCCCGACCCATGTAGTATTTCGGCACGGCGCGGCGCGGCGCCGGCACTGGGGCCCCCCGTTGCCCGCCCCACAGCCAGCCCCTCCCCCCCACCTCGTTCCCCGCAGCCAGCCCAGCTCCTCCTCGCCGCCCCAGCCAGCACGCCCCCTTCGCCCCAACCGTTTTATTCAGGCACGGCACGGCACGGCACCAGAATCGTGCCCCTTCCCCCGCCCCTCCTCAGCCAGCCCCGCCCCTCCTTGCCCCTAGTCAGCACGCCCCTTCCGCCCCCCCTCGCTTTTTTTCCTGGCGCGGCAAGGCACGGCACAGGCTCCGCGCCCCCTTCTTTTCCCTCTGCAGCCAACCGAGGTCCTCTTCGTCTTTGCCGCACTGCAGCCAGCCCAGCCTCCCTTTGTTCCCCAGCCAGCGCGCTCCCTCCTCCCCGATCCTTTTTTTTCTTTTTTCCCAGCACAGCACGGCACGGCACTGGCACCCGCCCCCCCTGCCCCCCCCCCCCCCGCAGGCATCCTAGCTCCCCCTCCTCCTCGTCCTCGGTTCCCGCAGCCAGCCCAGCTCCTCTTCGCCTCCCAGCCAGCGCGCCCCCTTCTGCCCCCACCATTTGATTCTGGCACGGTACGGCACGGCACCAGCACCGCGCCCCTCCCCTGCCCCCTGCCGCCTCGATTATTTTATTCCGGCACGGCGCGGCGCGGCACCGGCACCGCGCCGTCATCCGTTTCGCCTGTGCTCCTTCCGTCCGTCGCCCTTGGGGCCCCTCTCGTTTGGCCCTTCATGTTCCTCCCTCTCTTTCTCCTCTGTCTAGTTTCCTCGTCCCCTTTCCCCCAGTTCCTCCACATTCTCTTCCTGCACCCCCGTTTTTAATGTGCAAGGGCTGGCACGCATGCCAACCGTATTGTACATTTTATATCGCACCTCGTATATTGCGCCACAGTTATTGTTCCACGCAGACTGCACAACATATATTGCACCACGTATGCTGCACCACATAGCGACATACAGCGCACCACACATATTGCAATGTATAGGTGGCCCCCCACATATATTGCATAACCTGTGTTCTCCTTTCTAACAATAGTGGCGGATCTATCGCCCCCCTCCGAATTATCAGCTTCCCAGGGACAGTTAAATTCGCATGTGATTTTGTCCAATCGTTCATTCTGAATCTGAGTTCGCACCATCGCATGGAGTTTAATTATTGACGCCCCTTCATCCTTGTCAGGTAGAACTATGCGCGCACATTTGTTGAGCACAAAAGGCGCGTTTTCCGGAGTCCCTTGCAACATATGAGACGAAGTCAGCACGCGCTTACCGTCGCGCGCGTATGCCGAAATTCTACAAACACTCAGATATCCGAGCAGATTTTATGATTGAGGGTCCCCAACACATATACAGCACCAGTAGTGTTGCAACCTGTTTTTTGGAAGCAGTGTTCGCGCGCGCTCTTGTTGCGAGTCCTAGGAAGCACTCGTTTTTCATAATGTTCATCGTATGCGACCAACCGGGCCTTTCGCGCGCGCATGTCGGGATCATTCGAGCGCCCTTGCGCTTGCCAGGGGGGGCACGGTCCCTGTCAGATAATTCCGTGCGGGCCGTTCACGCCCGTCGGCCGCGCGCGCATGTCGAAATCCGTCGACATTTTCCATCACCGACGCGTGGACGCCATCAGCTCCATCGGTGTGATCAGCATCGGCACTGTGATTGGCCTTGCCGTCATGATTGTCATAATCGTCACCAGCATCGTTGCCATCATCATCGTGTCTGCCGTTGTCGACGTCGCCATGATACCGCGCCCGCCCGGGTCAGCGAGTCGAAGTGGAGTGCCCGCGCGTCAGCCTGGCTTGCGAGACGCGCTGGGAACTCCCCTGAAGTCAGCGCCACTGCGGCCGCGTCGGTCGCGTCAGATTAGCTGGCCGCTCTGCGCGCAGGCCTGCGCGCGTTAGCACGGCCGCAGCGATGTGCCAGCCTGCGTTATGCAGTCCTCGCAATCGCCGCCGCATGGGTTTACTAAACCAAGTTGCGGGTGAGTGGGTGGTTGGGACGATTGTGCGAGTATTGGATTTGACATTTCACCATTTAGCATTCGTTAACTGCGCCGTATATATTACACCACACATTTTGCTCCACACATATTGAGCGACCACTATTGCACCACACCGTATATACATCACCTCTCCGAAAGTTTATTCCGTTTTGTGAAGCACGGGTCCGCACGGATGCAACGCAGCCGTATGACTGCAATGTTGCATTGAAGAAATCGTGCATGAGTTTCGCGGACCTAGACAAAAACCGCGCCCGGGCGCGAACGCTGATAAATTTGGCGCGTATTCCGGACCACATCGGGGCAGAACAAAAGATCCGCCTTAACCGTTTTTTTGCAGTCGACCCCCAACGTGAGGCCAATTTTCGGGTCCGTTGGTCAGGACCCGACCTCCTTTTATGGCACAAGTCCCGCGCAAGTGGACCACCTTTGGGTTGGCTGGTGAAACTTTCGGGTCGTCGTGGGCTCAATCCCGGCAGGTTTGTCCGAACAAGTCCCATGCGGTTTGCTCATTTTCAGCTCTATGCACCGTTGGGGATTTTAGATTTTACGTTGGAAACCGAAGCGTGATTATTCTGGCCCAGAGGGCGTGGGGCGGTCGGGGTCACATTGTGCAAGGCCCCTGCGGCCAAACGGGGCGGGGCGCCGATCGTGTCCCCGCCTCCGCCGCCCCCCGCCCCCCCTTCGCTCCCAAGCGGCCCCCGCTGGCCATTGTCGATCTCGCGCCAGCGTTGATGGCGACGACATGCACCGTGGCAAAACACGGGAATCTCTGATCGGCGCAATATTGCTCCACGTAGATTCTCTTTTCTATTCAAAGACTAACTTCTACCCCCTCCCGGCTTTATCGGTACATTTGTTGTTTTGCAATGTACACATCCCAGCCCAGCCCAGCCAGGTTCGACCCCCCCGCCTTCTTCTGCAAACAAATGTTTTTCGCGCGCACTCGTTTATCACAAGTTATTAATGTTCATGAGCCCTTGGGAAGATTGAGACGAAGTGCGCACGCGCGCGTCGTCGCGCGCGCATGCTGGAATCCTTCAAAAACCTGAGGTTTCGGAAGGATTTCAAAACCGAATATCCCAGAAACGTACAGATAGAACAACACATGGTTTCGCAACACGGATGTTCGAAACACATGGTTTCACTTTTGCGAATTCGGCAGAAAACCAGAGGCCTTTCAACATTTTCAGACACTGCTACCAAACGGGCTGCGCGCGCTTATGTCGAAATCGTTCGAACGCCCTTGCGCGTGTGACGTCGCGGGAATCCTCTTGTATCAAATGGGAGGAAGTGCACACGGGCGAATCGTCGCGCGTGCATGCCGAAATCCTTAAAACAAGCTTTCGGTTTCGTAACGATTTCAAAATCGAATGCCCAAAACACATGCAAAAACAAGGTTTCGCAACATCAGTTTTCAAAAAATCTTGCGCGCGCGCGCTCTTGCGAAATCTTGCTGTTCATGGAATTATGCAAAACCTATTTCTGGCGCCCCATGCCGACATCATTCGCACGCCCTTGCGCGCGTGCTGGGGGGAAACGATCCGTGTCAAATGAAACCATGCGGGCCACTCTCGCACGTCGGCCTCGCGCGCATGTCGAATTCTTTCCAAAATGTTCATCACCGACGCGAGGATGCCGCTATCGTCATCGGCGTGATCAGCATCGGCGTCCGCACTTGCCGCGCCTTCGTCGGTGCGAACATCGTCTCCAGCATCGCTGCTATCATCATCGTGTCTACCGTTGTCGGCGTTGCCATGCTACCGCGCCCGCCCATGTCGCCGACTCGCAATGAAGTGCCCGCTGGGATGCGCCAAGCGGTCAGCGCCACTGCGGCCGCGTCAGTGGCGCTAAACTAGCTGGCCGCTGCGCGCGCGTGTTAGGGTTGGCGCGGCCGCAGAGATGCACCAGCCAACGCCAAGCATGCATCGCAATCGCCAGCGCATGGGTTTTGCAAACCAATTTGCGGGTGTGTGGTTGGGATGTTTGCAAGAGCTTGGGATGTGTCAACTCGTATGCTAAATTCAATTGCACACCAAATATGGCAACACACAAGTTGCACTACATCGAGTGTACCACATGGGTTGCACAACCTAAACTGCACACCATGGAGAGCACGACATATATCGCACTACGTAGATTGCACCACAGACGTTGCACAACCCATGCACGCTTACATCTAGATGTACGCACAAATATCGGATAAAACGTATTGCACCGCATAGGTTGCACCACATAGGTTGTTTCGCTTATATGGCACAGAACCAAACAGTAACTCCACAGAGGACTGCACATTGTAGATGGCACCACATGGTTTTTGGATGACATCGCTTGCTTCACATTCATTGCGCACCATATACAGCTAGAAACATTGTTTTGGGGTCCACGTTGGCGCACGTATCTACGTTGGTTCTTTATCTCTCTCGCTGTGTGTGCGCGTATGTTTCGTTTCTACGGGTGCCCTGCCAAGCTCTTCCCCTCCACGGTCAACCAGCCTCGGCCGCCCGCTCCTCGCCATGCAGCCGCGCTCTGGAACCCTCCTGCACTTCGTCGGCACGCATGCGACCGTCTTCACGATCTCAGGGGCTCTGTTTTCTCCTCCTCTCTGTTCTTCCCGCGTCGCGCTGTGCCCAAATTCGTTCCCAGCGCGTTTCGCCCGTTGCCCGACCGGCACCCGCGTCTGCCTTGACTCGTCTGCGCCCGCTGACTCAAAACAATGTGCGCGTGCATGTGCAGGCGCATGTGCACGTGTGCGTTCGCGGAGTGCCCTTTCCCCTTCTCTCTGCCGCTGATCTTGTCCTTCTGCTTGTGCTCGCTTTCTCATTTCGGGTATGTACCCGGTGCCAGGACAACGATATGCGAAAACATACCTATAGCACCATCGTCTCGACGATTTCCATCTTCTGCGCGGTTCGCTGGGGAGACATGGGGAGAGGCCCATGATAGGTGGGAGGTGAAGTTGGGTGTGCGGATGTATGGGGACATGCCGACCAACAAGGAGGATGATAAGACAAAGTGGAGGATTGGTTCGACCTGCCCGAATTCAATCAATCAATGCACACGCGCCAGTGCTGATAAATCCACCAGCTTACAGCCAACCCGCACGCTGTCACCTGCCAGTCGAAGAAGTGCACTCCTCGATCTTCTTGTGCACGGCCCCCCCCAATGCAACCGCCTTGCCGCACATGATGCCCTTCGGATCGAAAACGTGCTCCCCTCCGCTACACATGTAGGCATCGGTTCTGTCGTGCAGCCCCTCTAGGTTGGCCACCTCCTCCATGAAGGGGCCCATCACGACGTCTTCGTCGACGGTCAGCGTGGCCGCCTCCACTTTCAAGGGGTCGTGCACGCTGTCTTCGACTCCTTGGTCCAGCATAGGGGGGTTTCCATGGTAGCCATCATGCCGCCCACGTCGCACAGCCCGCCGAAGAATTACTTCACCCCGTCGCCCCCGTAGGCCTCCTTGTGTTTCTGTTCGTGAGCAACCACAGCACATTCAAGGTCCCCTCGCGCCGGTCCTCCACCTCCAGCTTTTGAACCAAGCAGGAAGGCGGCGCACATGGCGCCGCGGCGACAACGCTCGGCCACGCAGGCCTTGAGGGAAACGGCAGTGGAAACCGCTTCGTCTCAAGTGAGGAGGTCTCCAACTTGAGCCGAACTGGCTACGGAACAAGAAGGGGAAGGCGGAGGAGGCGGAAGCGGAAAAGGAGGAAGAGAGTCGGGAGGTTGAGGATGGAATAGCCGTCCAAATGAACGCGAGGGTATAAGGAGGTGGAAGCGCCCCATGTCTATGCTGATGCTGTGCCGCAGGGTCTCCTGGGCAGAGCTTGAACATAATCCTGGGTATGGGAAGGGAGGACACCGAAGGAGCAAACAATCTGCATATACGTAGATCGACTCTCGGATAGAAGCAGCAGTTTGTGTTTATGCATTGTCTGTCCCCCGTGGACTGGAAGAACACTGTCAGCGATCGCCTCAGACTTCTTGTTGCTCTGTCAGATGTGTCGTCGAATTACCTGTCGGCAGATCTGGTTTCAGCTGTGTGATCAGTGGCAGGCGGTGCGAATGGCTTCATACTGTTTTGTGGCCGATTGGAAGCGGAATGGCTTCCGCATGCTGGCGCCCATCCGCATTCTTCTATGCCTTTCTGTCAGGTGCTGATATTTTCGACTTGCAATGACATGCTTTCGGAGTTGGGCAACCAGCTGGTGACATTTTTTTCGACTTGCTATGATTTGTAACGACTTGCTGGCAGAGGCGCAGTGTGAAAGGGATGTTTGGAATGCTGTTGTCATGCTCTGTAGCGGTATCGGAGGGTTTATGCCATCTTGTGCCGTCCGCGTGCCATATTGACAGCCTGTGCGACAGCTTTGTACTCCCTTCTGCCTCCCTTCGTCCCTCCCTCCTTCCCCCCGCTCTCCTCAATCCTCGCATCTCCCGCCTGTATTCTCCAAGCGCCAGCACAGCCAAGAGCTGCCGGGAGAGAGCAGCGGCGCTGCTTCCAGAATGCATCTTTGGTTGCTGCCCTCCAGAGGAGTTTGACGAACACAAGATGTGCCTGGTCAACATGGGCCATATGCTCACGTGGTACGTTCTTATGCAGCTGCGAGGGCCTCGGCGAGGGCCGCTCCTCTTCTGTATCCTTCTCCTTGCCTCTTCCTCCCCCCCCACCGCCTCCTCCTTTTTCTCCTCCTCCCAATCCTCCCCCAACTCGAGCGGTATGTCCTCTTGGTTTGCCGGCTTCTCACACTGTATTTGCCGTTGCCGTATTGGATCTCAAGGATGCTTTACCGCGCTTGCTTTACACAGTAAGGCGTGCTTTGCACGCTGCACGTCCGCTGACGGAACATGTCGGTTCCTTTCTTACATCTTCATGTCTAGTTGGTAACGGAGCAGGTTCGCCCCTGCTCGAATACCACGGCCGCCATGTCCCGCCTCGCCTCGATGTCAATGGCTTCCACCCTCCGTCGCTTTGCGTCGCGACGCTTGCAGGAGACACCATTCAAGGGTACTTCAGGGCTGGGCCAGCCCATCCGCAGGAACACTACCCCGTGCCGCCCTACATGCCGCTCTACATCCCGCTCTACATCCGCCTTCAACGTCATCGCCTTCGTGCACTTCTGCCCGCTCACTGTGGCAGGAAACGTTACTCTTGGGTCCGTTGGAACATCCGGGCATCCGCCAGGACCAGTTGCCGAGAACGTGCACAACCAGTACTGCACCAAGGACAACGCCACCAACATCTACAAAAACCGCTTTGCGACCCATCCTGGGCGTGCTCGGATTGTGTCCAAGCAGCTCGCGGACCCAAAACTGTCAGTGCCCCCAGCCCGTGGGAGTAGCCTCAGGTGTTCGACAGTTGCTCGCCGCAGCGTTCACGTCTGCGGTGTCAGAACAAGGTCCCGAGCTTCTTGAGACTGTGTCAAGAGCCCTGGGAGCAGCAAGCAGGGCAGAGGTATTCGGCGACTGTGTCGCTGGTTACGGGCGGGGATGCAGTGGAGAGTAGGAGAACTGTGTTCCCACCCCCCCAGAGGTAATGCAGTGGAGTGCATGGCGACTGGGGCGCCGTCGCTCCGAAGCACCGCGCCTCGGGGCCCGACTCTTCGCTTTCCCTACTCAGCCCCGCGCGCCGGGCAGGGCGGGATCCCAATGCGCGCTCCTCTAGACGATCGTGCAGTTGGTGGTGCTCAGTACAGCGACTACGCGACGTACGAAGAGCATTCCTGTGACACTGTCGCAGGATGCTTCGAGTACCGTGAGCACTGCAATGACGCGACAGAAGTATACGCCCAATGCGCTGACGAGGGGGAACGCATCCGGGGCAAATGTCCTCGGCGACTCATGCAACGCCGCTTGAGGATCTCTGGCCTCCATTACCTTCGCGACGTGAGGAGGGGGCTGCTCTCCGGATGGAAGGCCATCGGAGTCGGCATGTCCGCCGTCGCAAGTTGTGTTGCTAGCCTGGGCGCGGGTGGTGGCAGCGGCAACATGCGCCACCTCCGCGCCTGGGGGCCCGAGCGCCAAGCTCGCGTGCCTTGCCAGAGATGGGTGCGCGAGGTGATGATCTGGCCAGTGGAGAACTCAGACTCAGCGAGGTGCCAGGCGGCCTACGTCTCGTCGCGCCCTGCGGGCATGACGCGCGAGCGCGTGGGCGAATGGCCGCTAGCTGTCCTGATCCAGGGAGGTCTCATCAACGGCAACCCAGTGCCACCGATTACCTTCCATATGCACAGCTTGGCCGGGCGATGGGGCCAGCTGGGCGAGACGTAACGCGCCTGAGCAGTGTCGGCCCAGGTGAGCTTCCACAGACTGCCGCGGGAGCGCATCGACCAATTCATCGGGAGATTTGACATCTTCCGCGAACGGGCGCAGCAAACTGGTCAACTCACGATCGGCTACGAAACGCTCAGCTTCCCCCTGTTGCGCGCCGTTGGCGCGTTGAACATTCGACTCGCCATGTTCCCGCAGCGCTGCAACGTGGCCAACCCCTCGAAAGCTCAGCAACTCGCCCATGCGACGGGAGAGCTGAGGCGCTTTGGGCACATGATAGAGGGATCGCCAGGCAACCTCGCCTCGGCTGCCCACTCCGGCCAACGGCGCGCGTTGGTGCGCCTGCGCAGGGGCGGGGCTGGGGCGACATGGGTCCCGCTTCGCTGGGGTCGTCGCCCAGCCGCCCAGTGTCGGCCGCGGCCACTTCTGGAGGCTATTCGTCTTGCGCAGCACCGCTGGCGCAGGGGGCACCCCCGGCCGCGTGAATCGACCCAGGCGCCAACGCCGACGCCGCCAACGCCGACGCCGCCAGATCATTCGGCGAGGAGATAGCCGCCGACGACCCCGAGCAACGCGAAATTTCCGTGGAACAACGTGGTGCGCGCCTCTTCTGGGCTTGCGAGCGCGTCGGGCGTCCTGCCTGGGGCCTAGAAAGGGGAGGCGACACTGCGCTATCGCTGCAAGTTCGCGGCTTCGGCGTCGCCCGCGCATCCGACATCGAGGGCGCCGTCGAGTCGCTGTCCGCTGCGTGCTATGGCTTGCATGCAGCGCGGGTAGGGGACAGGTCCGCGCCGTCCTCGACTCCCGTTGGTGCGCCAGAGTAGAGGATGCTTACAACAGGCTAGTAATCCTTGGCCAGCATGGCCAACGGTGAAACGACGAGCAGCGCAGCAGGTGATCGACGCTCGAGTGCTTCACTTGAGCCAGCATCGGGCTTGCCGCAAGTGGCCTCGGAGCTTGCTGGGGCGCGCATCAACAACCAGCTGCGTCGATGCAGAATTAAGGTTGCGGGGCGCATCGACGACAAGGTGGTCATTGACCGACGAGAGTATGCGGCCCTGATATGCCGCGAGCTCCCGCGACCTGCGGCTTGCCTTTTGGCCAGCAGTCGCAGTTGTGCAAACGGGGGCGTCTCTAGGAAGGTGCGCTCCAACGAAGCACGGCGGCGCTTCGCTCGCGGGACTCGAACGCCTCTTCCTGTCCAACTGGCAGCCGCAAGCACCGTGGGCATGGCGCCCAGGACCAAGTGCACCACGACTTCGTACACCATTCAAATACATGCAAAGATATCGGACATGCACAGGAGGCGCCCGGCGACCGCGTCGCTGGTGCCTACCCCGCAGCCGAGCGCATGCGCTAGAAAGCGAGGATAAAACAGGGCCACGTGCCCAAAGCACGCCAGCAGGTCGTAGAGGACCTTTACGTCGACAGTGGCGACGACCTCACAGGTCTCGTCCGCATCTGCTGGGCTTTCCAGCCGTTGGCGAGCTGGGTCAAACCGACGGGCGCGACGACGTCCAGGGCAGCCTCGCCTCGGGCCTGCCCACCTGGTGGTTCCAGGGCTCGTCGGCCCCTGCAGATCGGCATTTGGCGATTGCTCAGACGGCCCAGCCAGCCAAGTTTGACGACGCCCAGCACCTCCTCACCTACCTCACCTCACCCGACTACAGCGCCGACGTCATGGAGGGATGCGGTGGGGAGGCGCGGACCAGCAAACTGGCTGTCCGTCGGCGCCTCAGAGTAGGCGAGCACTTCGACTTAGTGGTTGGCTGCGACCTCAACGACGAGAGCCAGCGGAAAGCCGTGGAGCAATGCATTCAGCAAAATAAGCCCCTAGTGGCCATCATGGCCCCTGCCTGCCAGTCCTACGGTCGTTGGTCTACGTTTAAGAGCAAACGTAGCCGCAGCACCTGGCTGCGCTCCTACGGGGACGCGGACCCGCGTGGCCGATTCTGTGGCTACCTGGCACAGTTGCAGATCGAGTTGGGCGGTTACTTCGTCGTCGAGCAGCCCGGGGCATCGTGGTTGTGCGCCAGGCCGCCCTGGCCACAGGTGCAGGCAGTGCCGAGTTTGGACGTCATCTTCGGCAAGTATCGGCTTGGACTTCGGGATCGCCGCGGAGGCATCTTAAAGAAGACCGCTGGGCTGGTCTCCAACGCCCCGAAGATCTTCGACAGTTTTCCGACCTCCGCCTCCCAGGCAAGAACGCGCATGTCCGCGTCGAGGGTTACGACAGCTTCGACGCCCAGATTTGGCCATCGACGTTGGCCGAACGACTCGTCTAGGGCATGGCGCACTTACGTCGCCGCCTGCGGCGTTCGCATCTCCCGAACTGTTTTCGCGCATGCGGCGTCCGATCAGCAGCTTTCCCAGCTGTGGCTACCGGCGCCGCTGAGGGAGAGACCTGTCGCGAAGTTGCAGCCGAGAGCCCACGCTGCGCGTGCAAGGCGTGCAAGCGCAACGCTCGGGCGGACTCGCGCATGCACTCCAGAGCCAGCAGCGTCCCGCCGCCGTCCTCGCAGCGTGCCGAATTACCGGCAGTCGCCTGGCTGCCAAGAGGGCATGGGGTGCGATCGCCCGGCGCGCATTCACGAGTTTGACAAATTCAGGTTCGCGGACCCCCACGTCTTGTCGCGTCCGCGCGCCGGTCAGCACCCGCGAGCGCCAGCGCGACTGGGATGGCCGCATCGCTCCAGCTACCAGCAAGCTCAGCTACCCAGCGGTGCAGGCCCTAGAGCAGCCGATGAGGCTGCTCTACCACCCTCGCCCGCAGGAGGGTCAGCAGCCAGTTCGTTATTTAGCGTTCGAGCTCAGGGTGCTGGTTGGTGCGGGCGACTGTCGCTCAACCGGGGATCCGAGCTTGTCCAGCATCGCGCGCGGGGCCTCGTCGAGCAGCTCCGCGAGTTGTCGACGCAGCTGCAGGCAACCCAACGCCCTCGGACTGGACTCGATTCGACGTCACCACCTCCTTGCGAGCACCTCGCAGGGACTCGCGTGAAGCGCGCGTGCGGGAGCTTCGCGAACTACCCCATCCAGCGGTGGCGCGCCGCCAAGGAGGAGATAGCGAGAGCCCTGCGAGCAGCCGGGGTACCACAGGACATCTTCAACTTGATCTTTACGGTGGTCAGCAACGGCAGGGGGAGTCGCCAGCGGGTAGCGCCAGCGCGCCAGATCATCCCTGCCCTCCACCTGTCGACGCGACTCAACTGGCACGTCGCCTCGCTGTGGCATGCTGGTCGGGGGGTCGCGTCCACGCGCGACTTGGCGCTGCGTGCCGCCAACGACTGCTCACATGGGAACTATGATCGTGGACGGCGAGGGCGGGATGACCTCAG